CAAATAAATGATAGTAAATTAACTAAGAAAAAATTAATTTTGACAAAATATGGTTTGAGTTCTATTTTTGAATCATCTTCAGCAAAAAATAATTGAATAAATCATGCATCTGTTTTTCCATGACTCTCACAATTAGTAACATCTGCGACGAATAAACGTAATAAATCTCCTTTGGCTTAGAATAAATTCTTTGTTTACGGCTGGAATCAAAAAGAGGCTTACTACACTTGTTAGTCGCAGATGTCACTGATTGTGTTTTGTGGAGTAATTTATGTTTATAAAGTTACAAAATTTATTTATTTCTCAATTTTTTATTTTAAAAATAATTCGATTATTTTTAATGCTCCGTGCATATATATATATATATATATATATATATATATATATTTAAATATGTCATCATATATGTATATATTTAACATCATATATATATTTAAATTCGCTAACATTTTTTTTAAATATATATATATTTTTAAATATATATATAGATTTAAAAAAAAATGTCAGTGAATTTGACTCGTCCGCGAGGATATCATTATCCTTTCGCGCAGTTCGCGCGGTCAAGGAGCGTAAGACAGTCTTAACGACGGCGCGTATCTACGTGAGGGAGAATGTCACCGAGGAACAGTGGACCATGGAGAATGCGCGCTGGTATTGCGATAATAGTCGCCGCTGCAAAATAAAAGACCGCGTAACGATCGGGTTTAGTGTGGCAGACGGGTATGCACACATCAGCGCTTTCCGTACTTTGCTCACCCGTATCACGTCGTCTTTAGCCGTCATAAAACACATCGTGAAACGATCCGTCGTTCCGCGCAAGATGAGAGGAAGCTGACAGTTGAAATACACAAACACAGAGAAAGAGGGACACTCGAAATATGACAAGATCTTCTGTCTGACATTACACGCGGAGGACAACTTCCGCGCTACGATTCTACAATCGTTTGAAATGGATTATTTCCTACCGTTGCAATAAAGCTTTCTGAGAAAAGCTTTGAGCCGGATATATTTTTTAACAAGATTGACATATTTTTTTTTTATCCTCTCAGAAAAAGTTGACAGATTTTTGACTACGTCATTTGATGAAACTTGCGATGGTTAAAGAGAGAAGACATTGCAGTCTGGAATTTATGTATTTTATAGAAGAGCTTTGACATCTAACATAGTTCTCAAAAGTTATGTATTCATTTGACGTAATTATTTCGACGTTCTGTCGTTAATAAACTATGCTCTTGTTAGCGAGCGTTTATTGAACGAGGGGATATTACAGAGGCATTACAATCATTCATTACGAATATCTGCGCTGGTGAAACTGTGGATTGTTACATTGACGTTTGTTAATCGTTATGCAAAATTTCGCGTGCAATTCTATTAGCAATCAAAATATCGGTAGAATGGCTGTGGGGATTCTAATCTACGCGTCTGTAATTCGTGCCTGAAATAGTCATTAAGCGACTAATGAATATTAGAAAAGAGAATATAATGAAACAGCCACAAATTATGAACAATCATAAATACACAGTGCAAAATCATAATAGAAATGATATTATACATATATATAAACGACAGAACAAAAAGTATATTATTTATCGCTGTGTATAATTAAATATCAAAAATAATCTCACAATGTAGGCGTTACTATTTATTCAAGTACATATATGTGGATACAATTTAGCCGGAAACGTATACATAATATTATAACTATGTGAAACACCCAATGCATTTTAAGCTAGTACACATTCGCAAATAATGCATTGCTTTTAACGCATATATCGCTCGAAAAGTAATTAAATTCAACCAAATTTCGGTCCTCGAGCACGTATACAACATTGCGACTCAGAGATCATGTAATCTGATTTCCCAAAAATTTATTTCAAAATTCTTACTCACCGTTTTCGCTCTGTTATATGTTTTTTCAGAATTTGCGAAACAGAAATACTTGCGATTCGCAAGCTATAAATGTATGATAAGGTACTTAAAAATTTTACAGTACGATTGCGTCGGCGAAGAAATGAATTTTAAATAGAATATAATTTTTTAAATGTTTTTCTGAAATAAATCCAGATGGAACGGTTTATTTACTGTAATCAAAAATGTATTCTGCGAAAGTTTAAAAATATAGATAAGATTATCATTTCATGATAAACCGTCGAATATTCATTTTTTAAACATATGCGTGTGCGCAATAAAAATATATACATGTACAGTTGAGTAAAATTTTATATTCTTAGCAAACTGTGATAAAAATCGGATTTATAAATAAACGATGCTATATTAATGTTCCAATGATTCTAGTAAACAATACAAACCATTTTTCTCGTACACGTGTAAAATTGAGAATTAAAAAAAAATTGTTCAAAATTTCTATATAAACAAAGTACAGAAAAATCTGACAACATCGATAAGAAGAAAACGACTTGCTCCGTCGTAAATACATTTAATTTCCGTTTACAAAAAATAATACTGCCTTGGCTCAGATCTTTTTTGATTTTCTCACGGTCATATATATCACTATACATCGTATAAAACGTAATGCACGTAATTTATATACGTATATAGAAATATAATATTCGTATAACACACGCTTCGCATTCCTCGTACTAGCAACGATTCATCGAACCATAATCGAATCATCTGCGCGGTCGACAGACGCATACGGTTCAGGTCATTCTGCGTTTTGCAATAACGCGTATGCAAATATTAACGTGCAAGAATAATTGCGGAAATTTATGCTCGCGTTTTCCCATCCCCTTCGATTGTGCTTATGTGTACGTCACATTGAATACATTTACAGATACAGTTATGTGGTTATTACGCTATCATGCGCTGAACAAATGTTTGCGATGTTACACACATATATATGCAGTCGCAGTGTTGTGTTCTCTCGCTCGCAATGGGTGTGTGTGTGTGAAAAAATTTTTCGCATGTTCGCGTGTCATCGTTGATTAATTTGCCAATTAATAATAATTAATCAAATAATCGAGACCCTTTCGGCGTGTGTATAAATATTTCACTTTAATATCATCATTCGCAAACAAAGTGATCATTTTATAAATTATGTTGTAATAAAACATGGGTGTGTATATATTCTGTCGATATACCTATATATAAACCACATTAAATAAAGTTACGAATTAATCATGTCGCAATTATATACGCACATTGTTCAACGCAGATCCGACTGGCTTATAAATATCGCTCATTTTTTTAGCTTACTATTGGAAGTACTTCGCAACCGTATGGTACTAAAATAGAAACGAATATCGCAGCCATATCCCTTAGTATTGTACAACGTCAACAATTGTAACACTTCGACGAATAGCGCTCGCGATTTACTCTATACGGACTAAATAAGAAAACATATTCTTCATGAATTAGGCCGGTTGAGAAAAAGTATATATCGCTTCGTACGTTTATTGCTTTTTGTATTTTTCGAGCAAATGAGAAATCTCTCGCGTTTATATAAAAAAATATCTTTACCTACGAGGAAACAAAGATTTGAAATGATGGAAATTAGGAGAATGTAGTATTCGCGCTGGTAATGAAAAAAATAAATGTTTTATTTGATACTTTTCACAAGTTTTTCCGAGTAAAAAAAACGCCACATTCTCTGGCGCATTTGAACTGATAGAACAAATTGAAAACATATTTAGAATATAGAAGATTAAATTGGATAACATCGTTCATCGAATAAAAGTCTCAATTTTTTCCCAATAATTTTATATATTATATATATGTAACATATATATCCTTCTTCTAAATTTAACTTTAACTCTTTCTAGAATACTGTCAGACGTGTCTCAGACACTAAATACTTTGTTATATATTGATTGCAAGTTTAAATCAGTTTTCACATGTTCTGTCAAAAGAAAAATTGCTGTTAGAGGAATTGATTGTGTCGGTAATTCATTATGCGCCATCAAATATTGAGTTTTGAACAAACAAGTAACGGAACTTATACATCACTTTGTAATTCTACGTTACGTCATTAAATTCATTATTGTAATTATTAATCGTATCATAACGTGAAACGTGAAAAAAATTCTAATATTTGTGCTGTCGAAGTTGTGAATGCAGTATATAAACTGCTAAAAAACTTTATGATAGAAACATTCTGTATCCTGCTACGGTCCAGTTGATTATCGCGACTGGTTGGAATTGAAGATGTCTCTTCTCAAGTCAATCATCAAAATACACATACGAATACCAAAATTACATTATATTTTTTATTTTATTACTTGTACTTTAGTATATTGTGAGTATATTTAGTAACTGTCAGTAACTCTATATATATGCTACGTTTCTATTTTATCTCGCAGAGTTACAGCAAATTTTTCAATGCACTCACCAAGCGGAGCCTTTAAATTGCGCGAACCCTCGTAAGTGCATTACTTTGAGTGGACATAGAAAAAGTAAATTTTCTATACTCCTCTCTCTCAAGAGCTCATTCTTCGATAGAAGAAGTTTCAATTCCTTTAAACCAGTCGAATTATCAACCAAACCATCTCTCTCTGTTAAAAATTCATACACTTATCGCGAGTATGTGATCGCGATATAAAAATATACCTCTTTTAATTCTCATCCCCGTAATTAGGTATCTGAATACACATTCTCTCTAGCGCGGTATACTATTATTATTTCTATAAGTACTCCTTTTCCTCCGTCATACGCTTCCAATATACATATTATACCTTTTATCTTATCAGAGCTTGGTCAACGCAGACGAATCATTTAATTGCGATCCCCAAATAATTATCTTGATAGCTAAATTCCTCACTCTCTCCCTCTTAAAACTTTAATAGCTGGTATCATTATCAATAAATTTAAATAATCAAGTTTTAAATGTGATAATAAGTTTTCTTGCGTTCCTTAAAACTCTCAATATATTTTATAAATTAAAAATAATAGATTACATAATTCTTCAAAGAAGTTTCTTTGAAACATTTTTTTATTTTTGAATATAATAATATAATATTATTTTTAATACATATATAATTATTTTTAAATATATAATATAATTAAAAAAATATATTAAAATATTGTAATTGACCAGCTGTTAAGGAATTAAGAGAGAATCTTTGACACCCCTTTGTCAGAAATACGTTATTAAATAAATATAATGATATATGATTATATATTAAATAAATATAATAATATAATGATCGCTGTCTTACTGATTGTGAGCATATTATATGAAACCGATTAATTTGACACGCGTCCATTTTTGACACAAATTACTACTGAATGCCCAGTCGTTGTGCTGGACTCTTTTCACTTTATTTATCTCACTATAAATATTACTTTTACGATAAGTGTAACCTAATATATGAGTTAAAGGTTATCGCTAGCGTCAATCATGTTTGACTTAGGAAACTGTTATTTTTCGTAATTAAGCCCGCGCTACTCTCTGACATAGGTATCACGGCCGACTTTTCGCCTTTCGGTAACTTTGCATGCGATTTTATGTTCGGTTGCAGACCTTTCAGGATATTCTATATAAAAAGAAAAGATCACAGATTATATTCGCGACTCAAAATGGATTAAAATAATTATGGCTTATTATTATTCCATGTGCGATAATAATTTCAGATAGGGTTTGCGTATGCATGCAATTTACACGCAAACATCGTTTACCTCCTTGAACGATCCTGGCGTAACTATTACGTAATACAACGCGTAACCTGGTATCCATATCATAGATGAAAGACTCAAGCATACTCCCACTATGTCTGCCCACGTCGGATATTTGTAACTGCTGCCATATTTGAGTGGCTGATATTGCACGATTTGAAATACGAAGATAAACTGAAAGATAAAAATATTATAATTATGTGAGAAAACCTTTTTGCGTGTATAATATATGATACACATTTTATATATCTTTTGTTTCATTTATAATATTAGTGTATGCTTTCTACTTTACTTGATAATAATAATAATTCTGTGCTCATTAATTTATATTAACGCTATTCTCTACTCCTAACTTGCCAGCAAACTTCGTGATTCACGCCCACTGCTTGCTATTCGAAATTAGATCGAAAGTTGCAAATAAAGAACCGCATTGATTTACATAATTAATACTTTGTTTCGAAGTATAATGGTAGGTGTGGGTCTGCTTTGATTGTTATAATAAACCTCTTATTACTTACGAGCATGATTATCGGCGCGAGTAGAACCCAGCATATATACCAGAATTTATTCAAACGAATTCCCATCATCTGATGCACGCAATCGCAGAATTTCTTCGCTCCGAAGATCCACGAAATTGCGATTGTTTGGAAGAAACACACCCACAAAATAGACATACCGCTCGCGGAGTAGAAGTCCATCAGTTGGAAAATATAAATTCCACCCTGAAAAAATGACACTTTTATTTTTCTATTCTTTAATTTTTTATCGCGCATCTAAACCTTTCTGTATATGCATTATACGCAGCAGAATGTTTGTATCTAAATAAATGCGAAAAATTTCAACTAATGAAGGAGATAAAAATTAAATTTATATTTTTTTTGTCAAAAATTTCAGACCAATTTAAAATATGAAACTTGGATATTTCCCGTTTTATTTTTTTAATTTGTTTGAAATTTGAGAAAAAAATAAAAATTAATTTTTACCTCCTTTAAAAACTCCTCAGAGAAGGATATAAGATTATACGTTTATATAAGAAACCTCTCTTAATTTTTGAATCATCTAAAATTTTTTGCACTTATTTAGATACACCTTGTATATTCAATTCTTTGTTTATGGATTGATTGACATGGTTAATTGGATACTAACGTTCGTGACCATCGGAACTCCCAGAGCGAACATTATCAGACAGATAGCTATGGTGAACTTGATCCTGTGAGGACGAAGGACATCCGGCCAGTAGTCAACCATACCGGTTATGAAAGATTCCACGATACAAAATTCACTGTCGATCCCAAGTATCTGCGTAGAGAGACGAAGCGATTCGTATATAATCATCTAACATTTGTGTAAAGAATTGGAAAAGTTCTAATTTCTCTATACTTAAGCTTTGCTCCAAAATCTACGTTCAGATTGATCATTTATATTCCGTAATATGCATCTACAATATTCCATCAAAATCATAGTCATCTGTTAGGAATATGAGTCTTACATGATTTGTTCTCATTATTATAATAATTAATTTTACAAAGACAAACTACATGAACAATAATATGAACTACATATTAAATCTAAAATTTTTTTAAAATTTTAAGAAAAAATTGAACAAGCCTGTGACTAAAAAATCATTACATTAAATTTATTACATTGAATTGTGAAATATCTGTAGAAAATAAAATATTATCGAATTTTGATTTTATTAGATGAAAGAATTTGACGCATAAATTGCTAATATCGTTTTATACTGCAATTTATGTTAAAATTTAAATGGATCGTTAACATATTTTTTGAAGTAAAGAGAATCTCTGAAAATTCTTCAAACGTTTTAAAATATTATTTTCCATGAACATATTTCACAATTTGTCTTAGCACAAAAATACACAGTTCGACGTTAAATTGTGACATGTCGAAAGCATCTTCCTGCCGAGGGCGACAATGCGTGTCCAAACTCTTTTTACAGCGATGTACACGTCACATAATAAATATAGACGGCGACAGCCGATTCCGTCGTCGGAATAACAATTTCTTACGAGCAGCATCACGAAGAATATAATGGCCCACAACGAAGCACCGGGTAGCTTCAGAACGACCTCGGGATACGTGAGGAACACGAGACCAGGTCCGCTCTTGACGACCTCGGACACCTGCGTTTGCTGTTCCAGGGCGATGTGACCCAGTATCGAAAATGTTACGCAACCGGCCAGAAGACACGTCAGGGTATTGACTACGCAAGTGATTATTGCGTCTCTGCAAGACAAAACTCTCTTTTTGAAAGACTCCAGCAGCGACGACACCTCGTCGTGTGATTAAAAAGAATAGAGCGCGCTAACAAAGTCTTCATTTTATACGTAAACAATAATAGAAATTGTCGAAATTTAAGGCAAAATAAGGCCAACGTGAAATCTGACACGGCTAACGTGTATTAGCGTTTATACACGTGGCTCAATTTCGAATCGACATGGAGCCGCAGAAACCGACGATTGCAGCAAGTTCGAGAAAGTTTTAACCCTTAGTCCCGACTCATGGGTCGTTTGCGACCCAAACAAATTTAAAATTTAAATTTAAATTTTTTTTTTTTTTATTTTTGTCGATATCTTCATTTGGCTTAAAGTTATGATATTTTAAGTGAACAAGTGATTTTTCCTTAGGTACCTCCATTTCAATAACAAACTATATAAAAAATAATTTTTATCGAAATGTTATGATTGGGACTTCAAGTTGAAGGTTGCAAGAAGCTCCATGAATTTCTTCAGATTTTTTAAAGCGTTTTTACTGATCCAAATAACGCAAAGACCCATGAGTCGGGATTAAAGGTGCCGAAAAGAACCGTCGGGATTAAGGGTTAATCAAAAGTGTTCTATACATAAAGATTAAATTCTACCTCGACATTCTTGTCGGTGAAAAATTAACTTCTCGAACTTCGGATAAACGACGCTGTCTTATTGAAGCTCGATATCTTGTCGATAATTGCCATCCGGGGTAGGAGATCTTACATCGCTTACCTATAACAATTGTGATGGAACTTGTTGTACGAGCCTAGGGCGGGCAGGGCACCGGTACCGATACTGTACGCGAAGAAGATCTGGGTAGCACCGTCTATCCATGGTCCGGGATTGCGCAACTCCTCCCATCGCGGTGTCACGTAGTAAAGCAAACCGTCGTACGAGCCCTTCAACGTCACCGCTCTTCCCAAAAGAATGAAAAGCACCACGTACGGGAACAAGGCTGAAAACCAGATGATCTTACCGCTCTGATGTAGACCACGCCGGATGATAAAGTAAACGAGCAACCAGCCGAGAATCAGGCTGCCTAGTAGCTCCCACTGGATCCCGCCGATGCTCTCGATACCGGAAGTGATGCCCAGGACTCGCCGACTGAAAATACGATTCGGTTTAAACTTATCATCATTTTACACAAGTAATACTTTACTGATCAAAATTTCTTAACTCGACTAAACCTTTCAATTTAAAATTAATTAATGAAAGGCTCGTATAAATTAACAAAATTAAAAAAAGGTAAATATTGTAGGCCAACTAAACGAGCAAAATTAAATAAGATGTAAAGATTTATTAATAATTAAATAATTAAATTCTCATTCCGTTAGAGAAATAATATACAGCGTAAAGAACAGAAAAATGGAATTAATTTAAACAAAGACACCGAATTGCTAGACAGTAGTTATTTTGACATACTTAAAAAATTAGCTGAATCATAGTTTAGAAAAACATTGGTAATAAATAAATACATTACGCTCTCTACCTTGACATTTGTTATTTAGACTTCGCAACACACACTTGAAATTTCGAGAAGAAGAACTTGTTAAAACGATAATGTAAGTTGAAAGATTTTTTAATTTTCTCTGCTTCATTCAGCTTCAGAAGTGGGATATCCCTTGCTCTGAGTGGTTTTTTCGCGTTCGGAATTTAGACGCAAATAGATTGCGTCACCCGCATTCCTTCTCTTTTTTTTTGAGTGAGTAAAAAAAAAGAAAAAAAACCACGGTGCTCGCGTCGTCAAAAAGACTAACGAGTGCGTGTTATTTTTGCGTTGTCCAGTGACTGTCGAAACATTTTCGCGTTGTCCAGTGACTGTCGAAACATTTTCGCGTTGTCCAGTGACTGTCGAAATATTCTCGCGTTGTCCAAAGACTGTCGAAATATTCTCGCGTTGTCCAAAGACTGTCGAAATATTCTCGCGTTGTCCAAAGACTGTCGAAATATTCTCGCGTTGTCCAAAGACTGTCGAAATATTCTCGCGTTGTCCAGTGACTGTCGAAATATTCTCGCGTTGTCCAGTGACTGTCGAAATATTCTCGCATTGTCCAGTGACTGTCGAAATATTCTCGCGTTGTCCAAAGACTGTCGAAATATTCTCGCGTTGTCCAGAGACTGTCGAAATATTCTCGCGTTGTCCGAAGACTGAAGAAGTCAATCTTTGCATTGCCCAAAAGGCGGTCGAAGCTTTCTATAATTTTCAGTGTTTTAATCGCATTCGAAAATTTTCTTTGTTACGGTCACGAAAAGTGCCGGTTAGACGTCATTGGTATCAAATGCGTCGTTCGCGCTAAAAAGCAGTCGCCATTTTTATTTTTCTTAGTGCCTTTGTTTCCCGAGCTCACGAGTCGCGAGACACCCGCGAATTCAGGCATTCCAACAAAGAGTCCTCTCCTCAGAAAAACAAACATCCTCACAGCTCTGATTTATTAATTTAATTCGTGTAAAATATCCACAGCATGATTAAATGTCGCAAAACTTGGAATTTCAGACCAATCGTCTTACTCATCCATTGATCATCAGCGAAGAATCGTTAACTTTGTATTTTAATATTTGATTTTTATGTATTGAAGAAGACTGTAGTGCAGTCGAAACGTTTACGCTGTATATTGTTTCTCTAACGGAAAAAATGAGAATTTAATTATTTAATTATTAATAAATCTTTACATCTTATTTAATTTTGCTCGTTTAGTTGGCCTATAATATTTACCTTTTTTAACTTTTAATTCAATATTATTTTCTTCATTGAACATATCAAAGTCATTTAGTTTAAGGGTTTAGTGTCGCAAATAAATTAGTCGAGACTCCTAGGAGTTAAAATAATTTATTAAACCAATTAATTTCTATATTATATTATTATATTTGCAAAATAAATATTATATTACTTTTTTTAAATAAAAATAAAAATAAAATTTTCATAATTTAATCACATGTATAATAAAACTGATAATGAAAATAAAATAAATAATTATGAATTTATAGACTGATTAAAGATTCTAATAAATTAGTCGACAATTTTTTTCAGTGTTGTAATAAGAGAACAAATAATGTATAAAAGTATAAATATGTAAGATTGAATTAGAATCGCGTTACGCAATTACATGTGTAAAAAACGATTGCTTGTTTCACTCATCGTTCCGCAAAATAAATCTATGAGTTTATATTAAATTGATAAATTACGAATTTTCGTATGAAACGTATAAGCATGTTCTCTTGAGATTAATATTACTGACATTTTTTTCCGTTACATAATGCGTTTAAACACGAGCGAATTTGCTCCGACCTGATTTCAAAAAAATCAATGTCGCATTTTCCTTAATATTCTTACGTCTCGCATAAATTCCCCGATACTTTCAAACTTACATCAGCCTTATAACTCTCGCAAGGGACAATTTGATGCATATATGTATGCTTTGATTAAACTCAAGCTTATTGAATCTAGAAAATTATCTAATTCGAAGAATATACACTTGTGTGATTAAAAAAAGAAATACAAAAATATTTAGTAAATAATAATCCTTAAGGTTGCCAGTAATAATTAATAAAAAACCACTCCTCAATGTTTAAAGTCGACCAGACTGGCAATAATTTATTATAAATAATTATTTGAAATACAACAACGTTTCGGCTGTCATTGCAGCCCTTTTCAAGTACATCAAATTTAAAACAGTAAATCAACTTCTATGCAAACTACCGACAATGTTAACGCTTGTTTTGATGAACAATGTAAGACTAAGTCTTACATTGTTCATCAAAACAAGCGTTAACATTGCGTTAACAGCGTTAACATTGTCGGTAGTTTGCATAGAAGTTGATTTACTGTTTTAAATTTGATGTACTTGAAAAGGGCTGCAATGACAGCCGAAACGTTGTTGTATTTCAAATAATTATTTATAATAAATTATTGCCAGTCTGGTCGACTTTAAACATTGAGAAGTGGTTTTTTAAAAATATTTAGCATTTACAATGCTTATTATATATTTAAATTTATTTTATGTTTATATATTGTAACAATTAGTGAGATTTACTTACTCCCAGTATTCTTCTACCGGCGTGGTATGGTGGCAGGTATTATTATTATTATGAGCAACTATTATTTTCGAACAGTTTATTCGTCCATGAGTGCTTTTGCTTTCTTCAGCATCGAAACAATCATCCGTGTTCCACCAATTTCCTTTAATAAAAAAAAAATATTTTATATACGACAGAAGATAATTAAATAGTAACCCTAAAGATGCGGGTTTATAATATTTCGTCTTGCAATACTTTTGTATATAAATATTATTATAAATATTATATTTATATAAATATGTTGAATGTAGGAGGAAAGAGCTTAATTCATACTTTTAAGTATTTGTCTCTTTTTTTAATAATATTATTATACCACATTTATTTTAAGTATAGTTTTTAAAAAAATATTTTAAAAGCATTCTGTGGTTTTAATTTAATAAGTCTTGAGTACTTTTAAAATATACATATATTACTTACCGCATCCACGCCAAGGTACTTTAGGTATATTCACGAATGTGCTTATAAGGTAAAAAAGTGTCCAAGAAATAATTATACAATAATATACGTCGAGGAAGAATACAATAGTCATCGTAGCATATCCCACACCTGAAATATGACCACAATAAATTATCACAATAATTATTATCAGAGTATATCCATTGATATAGACGAACTATACCTTTGGTTTGAAAATCGAGATATAATTTTTTTACCTTGCAAAAGAGGACACAATTGTCCCACTAGCGACATTCCGCCTGCTCCAAGGTATTGTCCAATAGCGACTTCTTGAAAAAATATAGGAATTCCACAAAATAGCATCGCGATACCATAAGTGATCAGGAAAGCACCTGCAGCAAAATTCCGAGATGAATGAAAATCATGACTAATTAATTTACTTGTATAAATAATAATTATTAGTTTTACACATCGAGTTAAAAAAATATAAATAATCCATCTCATCTGTCATTTATAATTATAAGCCATTTTTCTTTTCTATTTTAAAATAGATTTTTTTATATAAACATAAAAGAAGTTAATTAACAGCAAATTAGCAATTAAACTGAGAAAAAGCGAGACTGTGAGCTGAATTATATTTTATCTCATGCAGTTTTCATCATGTATTAAGGATTACATGACTTCGTAATTAAAGTAGCAATTATGCATGTTGGATGTTACTGAAATTTAATACTGTCTGCGTCATCGACTTAAAGTGGCAAAAAAGCTCTAGGGAAGCTCGAAAATAAAATAATCAAGACTCCTACGAGTTAAAGTAATATATTAAAGCAATTAATTTCTATATTATATTATTTGCAAAATATTATTTTTTTTTAATGTTTGTGAACAAAGAAGGGCTGTAAGAGCTATATTAAACAAATTGCAGTTGTCAGATAATCTTAATAAAATTCATTTAAAACGAGAAAATAAATACATGAGAAATAAACATTTATGTGTAGATGATATTAATAAAATGTATTTTAAAATGAGAAAATAAATATATAAGAAATAAAACAATTATGCGAACGTTTCGGCTGACATTTCAAGCCTTCTTCAGCGCAATACAAATATTTTAATTATAAATTAGAACGTGATATTAAACATTAAAGACGGTAGTTAACATAGTCAAGATAATAAATATGTAAAGTCAGTTATTGTCTCAATACATATGTTGTTGAACAAGTCATCGTGTATGACAACCATCGTTTCCGATACATACTTTGTTCGAGAGAACGCACCATGCAATCACCATTTGTTTAATATAGCTCTTACAGCCCTTCTTTGTTCACAAACATTAAGTTTAATAGAGCTAATTACTATTTTTATTTTTTTTTAATAAAATAAAAATACAATTTTCCTAATTTAATTACATCTAACAATAAGTTAATTTGATATTATATAAATATATAATATAATAATATAAAAATAAAAATGTAGATATTTGAGAATCGCCAGACAGAATTTTTTAAAAAAAAGTAAGACTCTTCTCTCGACCGTACTGACAAATATTATTTATTAAATCACAACGTTTCGACTCTTCTTTGAATCCTTATCAAGTGATTTGTGAAAATAAAAATAAAATTATAATTTTTTATAATTATATTATTATAATTTTAATAAGAGTCTTACTTTTTTTTATAATAATATAAGTAAATAATGTAAATTAAAATATATATATATATATTTTTTTTAATTTACATCCTTACCGCCGCCATTTTTGTAGCAAAGGTAAGGAAACCGCCAGACATTTCCTAGCCCGACGGAGACACTTATGCAAGAGAACAAAAAGTCGAGTTTATTGTCCCAACCGCCGCGTTCGGCGTCTTCCTCCCTATTTCCAAGCTCGGTCATTTTACCCTGCGGCGAGGATACAGTCATCTTCGGCACAGAGCGGGACGGTTCGCGTCTCTTGTCCGTCCCCACCGATTTGGCCTTGAACTCTATGAAGGTCTGATCGGGGTCGACCTGATCCTTCTCCTCGCCCCAGTAATACATTTTCTCCGCCATGGAGCCTGTAAACGCGTCAAAAATTGACACTGAATATCTATAAAAGGGAGCGAAAGGCTTAAAGATAATTAGAAGGATGAAACGCAAATTCTATCTTTTACGACCTTCGTATTATCGATTACAAAGTTGTTCTATTTTTCTTATTACGCGTTAAGGCATATTTCTGCTAAAAAAGACACACGCGATGCCTTATGTAAGATGATACAAGCTATAATTTGTGTGTGTGTGTGTGTGTGTGTGTGTGTGTGTGTGACAAAATGTGAAAATACATTTTTACAGTATTTTTTTTTATTTCTCACAAATTAGAATGGAAAGTCCAAACAAGCATTTATTTCGTAAAATTGATTTCTTTTTTAATCTTCGAAATCAATAATTAGAGAAAGAATTTACTAATATTTACAATTGCTTTTATTTTTTAAGTTTTAAAATATATTTAAATTTCTTTTTATTTATGAATTTATGGAAAGATTTCTTTGAATGCATAACTTTCGTTCAATGAAGATCCATATACAGGGTGTCCCAGACCTACCGTATAACACATTAATGGGAGATTCCTGAGGCGATTTGGAGACGATTTTTCCTGAACAAAAATGTCCAGGCACCAATAATTTTTGAGTTAAAAATGATTGAAAATAAAAGCCTTTTTGTAAACTAAACTTTGTAAAAATAAATTATTAACAAAACTACATTTTTTAGTTAATTTCAGGTAAAGTTTACTTTAATAAAATTTTAATTTAAGGCTTAGTTACAAAGATACATGATTTCAAAAATTGGGAACATTAAAAAAATGATGACATTTTCGCTGAGGAAAAATCGTCTCCAAATCACCTCAGGAATCTCCCATTAACGTGTTATACGGTAGGTCTGGGACACCCTGTATATTATATTACAATGTAGATTTCCGAGAAGTCAATAATACAAGCATACATATATTTTCTCCATTATCAATATTTCGTGACTCCTATTGCATTCATAGAAAAAAGCGATGCACTCTAACGATAAATTCTTCCGCCCACGTTCCGACAAAGTCTGGCACGCAACTACAAGCTGAGCAATTACGAGTGTCGTTTGGGAATTGTTTTTCCAATAACCGCCTCCGTTTCATTTACCTTTCTCTGATTTTTTTTACATAATACATATAAATTAGATTGACCTTTAGAATAATATAATTTAAAGTGACTAATTGCATCAAATTTCTGTCTCCCTGTAAATAATACAATCTAGAAAAAAAATGGAATAACGCTATATTAATAAATGGTGTTTTAAATTTAACAAAATTTTAATTGATATATTATTCATAAAATAAATTAAAAAAATAAGAAATTTGAATTGAATGCCAGAGAAAGGAGATCGAAACAAATGTTTGAAAAAACTTTCTTTCCAATCGACCAAGTTGTCCAAGCTGGACCTAACAACCGATTTTCGTCCAACACGTCCTGTCCATTTCGCGCGCATTATCCCCATCATATATACAGAAGAGAACGCATGTTCGCTCATTGAAAAGTCCCCTCCTTCGAAAATCTCTCTCTTTCTCTCGCCACCCTACTTCTTTCTCCATTGTAGTCCTGCCAATTCGGGATTTCGCGGATGAAGAGGGTGCACGTGCGAAATTGTGTACATACACGCGGACGTATATATACGCGGTTGGGAGAGTGAGTGAATGCGTGAGTGAGTGTGTGTGTGTGTGTGTGTGTGTGTGTCTGTGTGCGCGCATCGTGCGCGCGCCCTACGCGCGGATGCTGAACGCAAAATCAATATCAAGTTTACATCGCGTCTACGTACACACGTGGACCGTGAACCTCGAACGTAAATTCGGATGCGACATAGGCCCCCTACTGGATCGCGATTACGTCATTACGATAATTTTACGAGGGTGCAATATTTATTTAGATTTGGAGCAAAGGACGGAAGGGAAAAATGAAAGCATGTATACATAAGAAAATGATGAACCTTCAAACGATGTATTGTATGATGAATCAAAACTATAGGCGTCTCGCCAATAACTAGAAGCTGGAAATATATTAAAATAATTTTTTCGTCAATTTAATGGTATTTTATTTCCTTAAATTGTTAAAATATCTGGCAATTATATATAAACCACGTTCTCAACTCTGATATTTTCTGACATTTAGACCTTTTTTTGGTGTCCACCTTTTAATGCAGATAGTATGGCGTTTCATTGTGTAATAATATAAATGTAATATGCATAGATAAACAATGAAAAAGAAAACATTTAATAAGGTTTCATAATTATATGTTCAAATATCTAAAATATTTACAAATAATAATAAGTTTATTATTATCAAGCATATGCTTATCTTATTGCGACGAACAAAACGTACAAGAAATGATGCTTGCATCATATACGCTTGAGTGCGCGAAGGTGGGAAATACATGGCCGTTAATTGAATAACGTAGGTCGTGTACGAATATAATCTTAATTATTACACGATCTATGTGTCGATTAAAATGCGATATTAAATTAGATTTGTTAATTACCGGTGATAAAACGTTGTTACAACTCTTTATAGCTTCGCACATACATGCAGTTTTTCTCACACTTAGGTCTAATAATATATTCTCGAGATGTAGCTAGATGCAATTTCCATCTCGGTGCATGAGAATTAATTTCCATTAAATGTTGCTGGTGTAAAATTTATTTTCAGCTCAAATTAAGATTTTTTTATCGCGGTCATTCAAATGAAAATTAATATTACGCGATAAACGTAATATTATGTAATAAATGATGAAATTCTGTTTATATATATATTATATATATATACAATATAAATATTGATTTTGTTGAACGAAGTTCTCTTACCAAAAGATGCGTTAAGGATTCCAATGCACTAGCCGTGATCGTCAATTTTCTGTCTCGTGATAATCGTAAGACCCGGTATTGCGCGTAATCATTACATCACTCGAGAACTAGTTAGCTACGTTGTTAGGAAGACTCGTTCGCGTCTGAAGGTTCGCGCTTCCGGGTCGAATCTCCTGGATTCTTCCGGAGAGGATGCTCCGACTTGAATCAATACGCGGATGACCCGCACCGGTTTCACTTGTCAAAGGTGACGTTTGGCGAAGCGCACTTTCGGAGCAGACAAGGTTTATTTGACGTACTGACGCGTTTATCACAGGATATCTGCGACCTACCCCACAAGAGATGTGGTTACAGAATAATACTAGATAGGTTCAAGATGGGAAATATTAACCCCTTTCGAACGCATGCGCGTTTTCGCGCGCATTCTCCTCGCCAGCCGGCGAAGCTAAGTGGCGGAGTCCTGGGATCTGGCGGCAGGACCTTTTACTCGATGAGTAATCAGAGACCGAGGAGAATGATTTGTCACGAAGTAACATTGTGCTTTATATACGTTTTTTTTTTTTTTTTTTACAAACATTAATGAAAAAAATACTGCTGTTAACTTTTCGTATGTAAAACAATTCAATAATTTTTCTAACGCGGCAGTTGTCAATAAAATATGCCTTTCAATAAATGTATACATGTATATAAATGTTTGCTGTTGAACGTAAAATATATTAAATTTTATAGACATTTTTTAAATATTAAAGTTGTTTGTAAAAATTAAAAAAAAAGATAAAGCAGTGATACTAGATTAATTTGACAGAAAATTGATGTACATTTTTTGAAACTTATTCTATTAGTAATTTGTGCGAAAAAATATTGGAGAAAATAATCAAAATTATAAATAGATGCTACAAATTGATATTTATTTATAAAAAGTTTATATACATATACATATTCTATTAATATAATTGATATTAGATAGATGTTGTATCACGTAATGTTTCGCGCATTGTTTTTAATTATTGCGTATATTCCATCGAGAGATATGTTGTTCAATATAATCTCAAAAATAAAATCTCGCGTATATATCACAAAATATATTTTTATAGAAAATTTTGTATAAAAATAACGCGTACAAATGTCATAGCGAATCTATAAAATCTTATCGAAATGTAAATAGCATCGCGCGGAGCGTTTGTTCGAATTAAATATCATGCATGAAGTTGATATGTCGCCTTCATAGAAATTTTTTTTTCACGTATTAGCGATACTCGATTAACCGAAGGCGCGCGTGTTCAATAATAAGCGTTTAACAAACGCTGTGATTAGTCTCTTCAACATCCACTCGATTGCTCACTGGAATTACCCGGTATCACTGTGTGACAGCCACGTCGGTGTCGGAATTGCTTGGCCGCAAATTTGTCAGGATCCTAGAAATAACAACCGTCATTGCAATTATATCGCATCAGCTGTTTACCTGAAAATTTCTGCGAAATCTAACAAAATTCTTGAGAAAGAATTTTTTTCGTTCTAAAGATGAGGTTACTGCGTTAATAAGTAAACATCATCTATTTCTGCTCTTATTATTATACATTTATTTAGAGAAAAAATTAAGATAAGTATAGTAAAATGAAAAAAGGTATAAAAATGATCATAATACATTAATTAAATATTTCAAAAAAATTAATTTACGATTGAAAAGGAAGAAATTCTTTTTTTTCTCTTTTTCTCTCTCACTATTACCTGAATATCGTTCACTCCCGTTACTGTGTGAAAAGATTTCATAGATATTTTTCGATGCGCTTCCTTGAACGTAGAAAAGTTTGGTGGTGGCAGCCAATTTGTTCCATAAGAGATGGGATGTACGTCTCCTCGTGTCGCATTCGCATCCATCGACATTTCTGAGCGAGCGTCGTCGCAAACTGAGTCCATTTCACTGTCATCCGTTGCTGCGTTTGCCTCGGGGCTTATAAATATTTGTTGCGTTCTAAAAAATTTTTCCAGTATATTTTGTTTATTGTTATTATTTATTGTGTTGTTTTATTATTTATTATTTTATTATTTTTTATGATTATTATTATATTATAATTTAATATCTTCTTTAGAGTTTAATTTTTTTAATTATCTATTATTTTAAATATTTCCATGTTATTATTGCTACGATTTTTTTAATTTAAAAGAACCGATAACACGCGATAACTATAAAACAAAACTTGAGTTTTGAAAGAAGAAATTATGTTCTTAATCGAAAAAATTTGACTTGATATGTACAAAATGTTTATAAATAGGGAAACAAAAATGGGAAACAGGAGATAGTAAAAATATCAATCATAATACCTGTTTTGTGACCACTCTATGCAAAACTTGGTCACCGCCAAGATGTACTGAAGTTTACTTGACATGTTTTTCATGAAAGTTCTCAAACGTTCAGTATTCATTGCGCATCCTAGCGCGATTATCCCGATTGACATTGCGATGACCCAACTAATGAAACAGGCTGACATTACCGGTGGCTGTACAGGTACAGGATAATATGAGGACCAGACACGGTGCCACCAGGGATACGAAATATCTCGATGCTCAGTTTCCTACAGCGATTTTATATTCTATACATTAATGCGTGTATAAATATATTTTTATAATCATGTAAAAACAGGAACAATTCATTTTGAATAAAAGCTTTGAATTGTTGCAATATTACAGATTGTCATAAAAATGCTACAAAGTCTTAGATAATTATATAATTATTTAAAAAAGTATATTAAATATATACAATTAATTATAATTATATTAAAATACATATATGCTTGTTTTACATGAATATAAAAATATATTTATGCACATGATTGACGTGTGGAAGAAACTTTAGAAAGCTATTATTTTATTTTAATATAGAAAAGTGTTTGAAGTCTTTGATATAAAAGCGAATAATTCGAACATTGTGAGAGTGATTTCTTTGTTAATTACAAGAGAAGTAATAACAAATCCACTCACATAACTCCAATAATACCAAACGCTGCAATAAAGTATTCTCTGAAGGACCAGCCATAACCATAAAAGCGCGGTAATCGTTAGCCAGCTGGCTGTCACCTTGAAAAACGTGCAGAGTGAAAGCAACACTAGCTGTATAATGAATCTCTAGAAATTTCTCCAAGTACCTGGAGACCTTTATAAACAAATGTCACGCCTACGAAGTTCATCAGTCGCTCGGAGGAAGGAGGATTTTTCCAGAGAACGAGCATCGTAGCTGCTACAATTACGAAGGATGGTAGAGTATGAATAAAATCCGGCCCGACCGCAATTTTCACGTATTCGCGGAACACCCTGTGTCGCAGAAGCAGGATCTCGTTAGGCACCGAGAGCAGAGTCGCTAACTGCGAATCCAGCGCGCTCAGGCAGGACGTCACCGGCGAGGAGTCAGCCTCCGGTTCCGGTTCTTCGGGGTTCATCGTCACCGCGGAGGAGAGAATCGCGGTTATGACACTTACGTTCAGCCGCATCTAAAATCTAAACACCTAATGTGTGCGCTGAAATAAACCGCGGAAGCGACATTCGTCGTTTGTTCGAGGATAAAAGTGAATGGCAGAACATACTCAGGGTTTCTAGCGATCAGGGAAATCTGGAAAACCGAGAATTGTCAGGAATTTTATAAATCTGGAATTGTCAGGGAAAAGCCAGGAAATTTGACTATTTATCTGGATTTTTGCAGATTATTCTATATTTGTTTCAATAATTTGACATTTTTTATTAAATAGATATAAATTTTTTCTTGACTCCCAGCACGCTAATTTTCTGTGTTAAAAATCGATTCATCTGCAGTGTGTTTGTTACTTCATATTCTCCTCGTTGTGTTATTTTATTTCAATGTGTTTGATAAAGACAAAACTAAAAAATTTGATATAATATAAATAAAAAAGATCTAGCGGTCAAGGAAATCTGGAAAATCGGGAATTGTCAGGAATTTTATAAATCTGGAATTGTCAGGAAAAAGTCAGGAAATTTCACTATTTATCTGAATTTTTGCAGATTATTCTATATTTGTTTCAATAATTTGACATTTTTTATTAAATAAATATGAATTTTTTCTTGACTCCCAGCATGCTAATTTTCTGTGTTAAAAATCGATTCATCTGGAGTGTGTTTGTTACTTTATATTCTCATTGTCGTGTTATTTCATTTCAATGTGTTTAATAGAGATAAAACTAAAAAATTTGATATAATATAAATAAAAAAGATGATTATTTAAATAGTTTTTATAATGACATGTTTGTTTCGATTATCATACATAATGCAGATTGTATAATTGATTTAAAAATTTCATGATTTAACATTTAATTGATTTATCATATAGATGTATGCAAATTATATATTTGGAAAAAATAATACTAAAAAGTCAGGGGAAAAATATTAATTTCTGGTCTTGGAAAATTTGAAAAGGTCAGGAAATTTTTTTTATTGATGCTGGACACCTTGATACTGTAGTATACAGAGTGTCCTAGACTTACTGTACCACACGTTAATGGAAGATTCTTGAGGCGATTTGGAGACGATTTTTTCTCAGCGAAAATGACCAGGCACCAATAATTTTCGAATTATAAACGATTGAAAATAAAAGCTTTTTTGTAAACTAAGCCTTGTAAAAATGAATTATTAACCAAATTAATCTTATTTTAATACATTTTTAACAAAAATAAAATAAATTATTAAAATAAATTATTAACAAATTTTTTAATTAATTTTAGGTAACGTTTACTTTAATAAAATTTTAATTTAAGGCTTAATTATAAAGATACATATAATTTTAAAAATTGAGAACATTAAAAAATGACCTTCCTCAACATGTTTCGCTCAGGAAAAATCGTCTCCAAATAACTTTAGGAGTCTCCCATAAATGTATGGTACAGTAAGGTTGGGACACTCTGTATATCATGTAAGGCTGAAAATCGCGTGCTAGAATTTTAGTTTGATGTTCTGAAAACATGTTTCTTTTATAATTATGATAACCCGAGTAACTCGAAACTCTCAGTTATTAAAACTTGAAATTTATAAAGTTATATATTACACTTTAATAACAGAGATTCTTGGAACAATTTATTTATCACAAAGTTAGATCGAGTTAGTTAAAGTTCAAAATAGGAAAGTTTTAGAAATTGTGTGTGTGTGTGCATGGCATTTAATCAAGTTTCCGCTGAAAAGTCTCTACAATGCGAGAATTTAGAAGAAAATACGGTGAAAGGTTATTATTCGAAATTGACGAGTACAATTTTTATATGTATAGGTCGATGTATAATTCGATATTTTATTAATTAAAAAATTGTAAATTTTAGTCCACGTAGGTGGAACGCTATCTCGTTATATACAATTATATACATTTTAAGCTTAAGCGATTATAACAGTCTACATAAGGAAATAGTCGGGTCCGATGAAGGATCCGCACTTAGGAAAGTCCTGTGGAGCGGATATCATGTCGCTTGGTTCTCCGACTTGCAGAACAACGTCCAAACCGCGAGTCCAATCAGCCGCATGTTCATCACGCAACATCCAATAACCTGCAGAATTATGTGAAAGTGCGGGATCAGTAATTTCATTGATTTAATGCGCAAGCGACGCTGTTACATAAGCGCTTTCTTTGCGTTTCTACCAGATTAATCATCGACATTAAAATGTTCGACAAATTCTGAATCGATTTTTCTCAACAAGATTATATATAGGATAATGTCATTCGTTATAATTAAAAAATGCCGATATAAAATTTTAATTAAATAAATAATAATAAGTTTAATTAAATTTTAATTCAATTAGCGAGGAATTTTTTATTTTCAATTACTAAGAATATTTTGAAACGTTTCGATATTTTTGTAAACTTAACGATTCATCCGGTTAAAATTTAAAGTAGTTTGTAAGTTTAATGAAATAAAGATTTGCTGGGAATTTTACCCGGATTGTCGGCTTTAAATCGCAACGCCACAGCACCGAATTTAGGTACGACGATAGTGTCCTTAACAGGCGCGCAATCGAGATTTCTCATAAACAGTTGCTTCCTCTCATCGAGTTTCTTCACTTCCTGCAGCGACATACTTCGCCCGAATTGTCTTGCGCTCACCACGTAAAAACTGTAGCCGTGTAAGTGATAAACCAGATCGTCTAGACCGCCTGTAGCAAAACAATGATGCATTAACTCCTCCGAATAAATAGAATTTCTTATATAAAATTTAAACAACACATTTCCAATATTAATTAATATTAATATAATATAAACTAATATTAATATTAATATTAACTAATATTAATTAATAATTAAATTATTGGATATAAAAAAAATTCCTGACATGACAAAAATAGGGCTGATAGACTCGGAAATCGTCATTGAATAATATTAAATAATAAATCGAAAAGAATAGAAATATAATACGATAAGAAATATAACTCATTGTCAGAGATTGTTGTTATGCTTGTGAAGTTCTATAAGAGAGATCGATCGTTTGCCGTGTTGTTATTGAAGTTGCAGGATTTTTTCTTCGACTGACGCAAATAACACATATATTGGTAGACCGTTTCAAATATTGTTGGTAAAAAGTAATATAATACATTTTTGTTGGGAATGATTTATGAAGATGAAGCGAGATCAATAATTGCCGACTTTCGCAGTAAATACGAAATATGGACCAAGGACATCGAAATACCTCGGTCGAGCTTACATTCCATTGTGTGCTAACGTTCCCTCTTATCTCCATTTGTGCTATCCCGCTTATTCTAAGATTATCCCAAGTATATATGTCATTGATTAATAGTTATGTAATAATAAGAGTCTTTGTGAGCGTCTTGCACAAAGGACCATATTCTGCGGTTAACGTATTCTCCTTTAGTATTAATATCTTATCCCTAACAAATATATTGAAAGCTCAACATATTAATTATATTTTTTTACTCTGGAATTTAATTTTAATTAATTTAAAAAATTAATTAATAAAACGATCTTTGGAAAATTGATCGTTGAAAAATCATTTAAATTAAACGCACCCACATACATATAGTATTATTTTTTTAATAGCATTTTTAAATTTGCACAATTAAATTTAGTATGTTATTTTATCAATCATATATAGGGAAGAAAATATAATATTGGCAAAAAGATATATTGCCGCGTAAAAAAAATGAAATAATGGCGCAAAGCGTATAAAATATTTTTATTCGCGATTCGAATATTTTTCAGATTCAAATCAGCTAGATTATTTTACTCGAAGGTGGAAGGCGAAAAAAAAGGAGAACGTAAAGAATCTGCGCGAAATAAACGGGATACGAGACGCTCGCGTTATATTGCCAGGGTGTCTAGAATTGTCAGTGAAAAGTCAGGAAATTTTACTATTTAAGTATCTAGGTTTTTTCACATTATTCTACATTTGCCTCAATAATTTGAAGTTTTCTATTAAATAAATATAAACTTTTCCTTGACTTTCAACACGCTAATTTTCTGTGTTGTTAAAAATCGATTCATCTACAGCGTGTTTGTTAATTTATATTTTCATCGTGTTATTTTATTTCAATGTGTTTGATAGAGACAAAACTAAAAAAATTGATATATAATAAAAATAAAAAAAAGATAATTATTTAAATAGTTTAATGACATGTTTGTTTCGCTTATCATACACGAAAAGAATTTTCTCTTAGAATTTCCTGAAAATCATGGTAATCATGGACAATGTGGTATTAAAAAAATTTTATAAGAATTTCTTCTGATTAATATTTATCACAATAAAAATATTAATATGTACATAGTACAAAATTGATCGAACATATTTTATATTTGATGGTAGATATTACTATTTTATTGTGGTAAATATTAATCAGAAAAATTTTTATAAAATTCTTCCAATACCATATATTGCCCATAATTACCATAATTTTCAGGATAAATTCTAAGAGAAAATTCTCTCTGTGTACATAATGCAGATTTTTGTTTTAACTTCCGAACCTACTGACAAGAATATCTCAAGGATTTCATGATTTAACATTTAATTGATTTATTATAAAGATTTTTGGAAAAAATAATACTAAAAAATCAGGGAAGAAATGAATTTCTGGCCTTGGAAAATCTAAAAAGGTCAGTGAATTTTGTTCATTGAGTCTGCTGGACACCCCGATTGCGCGAGTTGCATGTGCGTTTTGATGACGTTCGAAAAAGAGGCTGATTACCCTGGTCCAGGAGAATTATCTCGACGGTCGCTCCGAGCGGAACGCGACGCACGTGTACGCACTCGCACATGTCACCCGGGCCGCCGCCGACGACCGGACGGCATCGAGGTCGCAGCAACGTGTCGTTGTTATCATTGCGAGCGTCATCGTTGGCGTCATCGTGGTTGGTGCACATCATGTCCGGCGACACATCGCCACCCTGGCTCAGCAGCGGCGACGACGGATACGTGAAAGTGGCGTTGTCCACGTTCAACACTCGCGTTTCCGTTCCGCTGTTACCTAAGAGAGGACAGGAAAGAAAGAAAATAATTCCCGCGAAATTGGATAATCGAGTTTGATCGAGCGTCGCGCGATCCTCCCCTTGATTCGAAATTAATTACTCTCTTAATACGATTTTAATTGCGCGTCGCGCTTCCTCGGCTTTTTTCACCGGATGGTGTTTTTTTTCTTTTTACATAATTAGGGGAAATTGAGGCCGCTATCGGTACTTTAGTAGCGGTCCAATATTTTTAGGCGAATTTAGAACCGATCCTCCATAATGAAATTTTTGTGAGAGTTCAACAATATAAATCGTGATCCTTTTATTCTCTATATAAAATGTTTTTATAATCTCAATAAAATTTTATTTAAAGATTTTAATAAAAAATATTTATATTCACATTTTTGAAATTTAGTTTTGCTCACAGGTATTTTAATAAATTTATTGTCACTCGTCTTACGTCTTCCTAAGTATTCAGAGAACTGATCTTCCACAATGAAAATTTCGCGAGTATTCAACAATATATATCGCGATCTTTTTATTTTCTATATAAAATGTTTTTATAATCCCAATAAAATTTTAGTGAAAGATTTTAATAAAAAATATTTGTCACATTTTTGAAATTCAGTTTTGTTCTCAGCTATTTTAATAAATTTATTATTACTCCTCCTTCGTCTTCTTAAGTATTCAGAGATCGAGAGATTTACTGCTAATCCATCAAAACGTTAACAGCTCAGGAGACGTACGAAAAGATTTATGAGGAAAATAATAGCGATGAAAGTGCCTTCCCGACCCAAATACATTGTATTAATATGTAATATCGCGTTCGCGCGGTGAAACTCGCGCGAACGCGATATAATTTTTCAGCAGGCGATTACGCCTGCTTCGAAATTAATTACGGTTGCATCGCGCGCGATTACGATTTAATTGTACTTTCACTTCCCCATTTTCTCGCGTCATTTTTTTATTTTTATTTCCGTTTATGAGAGACTCCTAACGCTATTTGGAGACGATTTTTCCTCAGCGAAAATGTCGAGGAAGGTTATCCTTTTTTTAAATTTTTAAAATCCCAATTTTTAAAATCATGTATCTTGGTAACTAAGCCTTAAATTAAAATTCTATTGAAGTAAACTTTACTTGAAATTAACTAAAAAATGTAGTTTTGTTAATAATTTATTTTTACAAGGCTTAGTTTACAAAAAAGCTCTTATTTTCAATAGTTTATAACTCGAAAATTATTAGTGCCTGGACATTTTCGCTGAGGAAAAATCGTCTCTAACTCGCCTCAAGAATCTTCCATTTACGAGCAGTGTTGTGCTCAGATAATTTAAAAATTAGCTAGATAAAAATATGTAAATTTATCTGAGATAAGATGAAGATGATTTTGTTTTAAATATATCTATTATAGATAAAAGATAAAATTATATGGCGGTTCATTTAGATAATTTTCTAGATAATAATTTTTAAGACTGCTTATGTAAACAGTTATTAAAAAATGTAAATTATAAAAAGGATATAAAAATATATGTATTCATATTTTTATTAATAAATTTTCATGGCTTACTGCTTAAGTACTACTATTAAAGTATTTTTATGTGTTATGATTCTAAATAAAAATGATTTGAAAATTATTCTAGATAATTTAGTAAAGATAATACTTTTCTTCATCTAAGATGCAGATATAGATGATATTGTACATATTTTTATCTATATAAAGATAAAATGACGCCAAAGTTTCATCTAGATAATCATCTGTATAATTTTATTTAGATAACAGCAAACACTGTTCACGAGTGGTATAAAAAATCCGGGACACCCTGCACTGTAAAAAAATATGTAATATATTACACAAAAATATGTAAAATTACACGATAAAAAATAGAAATGTTTATCTTTTTATCATGTAATTTTTCACATTTATTATTTATGTAATTTTACATATTTTTTGTACAGCGTGTGTACGCTCACCCACCTATCAGTTCCGTTGCTTGCATCTTGTAATTAATCGGCAGATACATCGTCACGTCCATGCGAGGCATAGCCAGGGCTCGTGGCATTTTGCGCATATTCTGGATATCCATGACGCAGAGGCTTTCCTGCCCGCCACACTTCTCCGCAGGATTTGTCGTCATGGCCAACCGGTTCGTCCCTATCTCGTCGATATCCTGCCGATCGATCGTTTCCGCCGTTGTCGCCGGAATTTCCGAACCGCTGCCTTTGTAGTTGATCACGGCCGCGCCATTTATCGCGCTCGTTCCGCATTCCTTCGCCGTGTGCACGTTCATCCAATAGGAAGCGACGCGTTTGCTCGCTTTGAGAACAAAATCCGCCCTTTCACCTTTAAACGAAAATCGAAGAATTTGCTTGTCGCTCTTTGGATGGAAATTGCAAGAAATCGCAATAAAGTCGTCTGTTTCGCACGAATGAAGTTCAATTGTATATGCATACACCGTATCGATTTTACGTCCGGAATTTTTAATCATAATCTTCTCTCGCGAATCTCGGTAAAAGTTGCGAGACACTTGCTACTGGAGATCCGGTGTATTCGAAAGTGGGAATAATGAAGGAGAAAATAAGCGTCATAAAATAAATTGCTTGAAAGATATAACAATATTACAATCTCTGGCGAGTATGCTTTTACTTTTCCCAAGTCGTTCCCAAGTGTACAAAATACGCGTGAAAAAATTCCAAACAAATTTAGAATATTTTAACGTATAAATCTGCTTGATTTTCCCAATAATACCAGAAGCCATTCTGCTGTTAAAGCCATCTATTAGGTTGTCGGAAAAGTCATATACAAGGTGTCCCAGAATTAATAGTAAATCTGTTAATGGCAGATTTGTGGGATAATTTAGAGACGATTTTTCCTCCACAAAAATGTCGAGACATCAATAATTTTCGAGTTACAAGCGATTGAATATCTAAGGAGGTTTTCGCAAACTAAACCATGTGAAAAAGAATATTAACAAAATCACATTTTGTTTTTTTAATTTCATGTAGAGTTTACTTTAATAGAATTTTAATTTAAGGTTTAACTACGAAGATACACGATGGCAAAAATTAGGAACAAATGAGGGCCTCCCTCGACATTTTAGCCAAGGAAAAATCGTCTCCAAATGATCCCAGGAATCTGCCATTAAAATTACTATTAATTTTGGGACACCCTGTATAAGTGAAAAACCTTTGAGAAACATAAAAAGGAGAAAAAATTCGTCATGATTTTTCCCACAGCCTAATATACATGAATTACCGCGCAGACATTTCCGGGAAGGTATTAACAGCACTCGCACCTTTTGCTAATGTGATCGAGGTAACTTGTCGCGCCTCGATGGGATGTCCGTCAAGCGCAATCAAGAGAAGCGTGTGACCGTCGATGGAAAGCGTCACCGGACATGCACCGGCGCCTCCGGCATTGGCGGCGCGGAATCTGTGACGTCGTCCCGGGATGACCGTGAACGTGTCTAGGGGAACCGTGGGTCCGCTAGGCTGACGACCTCTCCCATTGATCAGAAGAATCGCCGGTTTCGTGTGACCCTGATTAAACGATACTTCCGGCGAATGCTGCCAGTGGGTCACCAGAATTACGTGATTAGGGTCGTCGATGTCGTAAAGGGCGCGATGGGGCTCCCGAAGGTCAGCCTGCTTCACGATCAATGATCCGAAAATGCCATTGGTGACGTCAGCGCCTGAGTTTTTTTTTTGTTTTTTTTGTTTTTTTTAACAAATCGATTAATTCATCAGTTCGATAATGTAATTATTAAATTATATTAAGAGGATTCTAAACGCCGTCTTGTTTTATCATTTTTACGTACTCCTTTTTATTGGTTGAGTAGAATAATAATTGCTTTTCCACGATTAAAGTATATGTAGAAACAAATGCGAACCTACTGTTTTATTTGTATCGTGGAAAAGCATTCATTATTTTATTCAGGCAATAAAAAAAAGGGTGTGCAAAAATGATTTATCGATACCTAACAATATTGAATCATTAAATCCATATTATGTGTGATTAAACTTAATTTATATAGGGTGGAAGTTGTTGAAACTAATCAGCTGTCATTTTTTAATGCATGCAGTTATTGAGAAAACAAAAATTGTGTTGGAAACTGCAGTTTTAATGGATATAAATAAAATGTTTGAATACTAGTTTATTTTGTTGATAAAAAGTAATGAAAAGGAACTAATAATCACATAATGATTGATATTTTCAACAATGCCAGATTTAATAGCAGCTATTAAAAGCATCGTCAATAACATTAAAAATGACATGTTAGAAAAAATTTTTACGAGTTTTCATTGAAAAACAGAATTGTGTACAAATTTAAATGATGCGCACTTTGAAAATATTTATCATTAATTTACATATGTGAATACTGCTACTTTTTTCATTACTTTTTTCAATAAAATAAACTGGTATACAAATATTTTATTTAAATATCCATTAAAAACTGTAGACTTTCCTCTTTTCTCAATACAATTTTTTTCTCAATAACTGCACGCATTAAAAAATGACAGCTAATTAGTTTCAGAAATTTCCTATGGGATATCCTGTAAAATAAGCCTAACTTATTTCTGAATATTTTTAAAATATACCATGTATAGAGTGTCTAGCAGTCAGGGAAATCTAAAAAACCGGACATTGTCAGGGAATTTTATAAAATGAAATTGTCAGTAAAAAGTCAGGAAATTTTACTATTTAGGTATCTGAGTTTTTTCACATTATTCCACATTTGTCTCAATAATTTGAAATTTTTAATTAAATAAATATAAGCTTTTCCTTGATTCTCGGCACGCTAATTTTCTGTGTTAAAAATCGATTCATCTACAGTGTGTTCGTTAATTTATATTTTCATCGTCGTGTTATTTTATTTCAGTGTGTTTGATAGAGACAAAACTAAAAAATTTGATATAATATAAATAAAAAAAGTGATTATTTAAATAGTTTATAGTGACGTGTTTGTTTCGATTATCGTACATAATGCAGATTGTATAATTGATTTAAATTTTTGTTTTAACTTTCGAATCTTTTCATCGTTGACAAAAGTATTTCCAGAATTTCATGATTTAACATTTAATTGATTTATTATATTAGATATATACAAATTATATATTTAGAAAAAATAATACTAAAAAGTCGGGGAAAAAATTGATTTTTGGTCTTGGAAAATCTGAAAAAGGTCAGGGAATTTTTTTCATTAAGTCTGCTGGACACCCTGATATACGAAATAATTGACAGCTATCAACCTGCGTGTGCATGCCAGAGATGTGTGCCGGGTATGGAAGCACGAAATTTGTATTGGAAAGTGGTGTAACTCGGTATCGGACACTGCGTGATCAACGGTGCACCATCCATGTAAGGCATTTCCATTTGCGTTTGTCCACGCCAATGCACCGCTACTGCTTTACCCGGAAGACGATTAATGACGTCCACTACTAATATATCGTTTTCACAAACCTGTAAAAGCGTAAACCTGTCTGGAAGTCGCTAATTAATCGCCCATTACTCATCATAAATGTTCAAAGATCTTCACGTTGGAATCGCGTACATTCTGCATATTAAGATAAAGTAGCTAGCTTTCAAATGTCAGTGACAAGAATATTCGATAATTTTCTTCTTCGATTTTATTTTCTAATTTTGCCAACTTTATTTTATTAATTTTTTATTATAAAAGAAATAAAGAGGATTTAAAAAAATTGGATTTTGATATAAAAAAGACTAATGAGAAATTTACACATATAATATTTAATTTTATATGAAATGTAGAATTTAGCTTTAATCAACATTTCTAAAGCTTCGTTACGTATTTGCGGGAAAGATCAATTAGAGGCTCAACGAAACTCTCTTCACTTCAAAGTGTTCACTTAGTTAAACGAGACACGTGCGCGAGATTATTTCCCTATATTCAAGCAACGCAATTAATTATCCAAACTGTATATATACGTGTTTCAATCAGCATGTGAGTTAATTTTAACACAAGATAGAGTTCAATTTTCGTTTCAATTGAAGGTCACTGATTGCAAATGAAGGTATATTTCTATCGGCAAAGCCACGTGGATCAAATCGTACATTTATACAAACATTCGCACATATATAATGTAATTTTTCAGTAAAATTATAGCAATATTAATAAAGCAAGAGAGGATTATATTATTCGGATAATAAAATTAATTATACATTTTTAACTAATATAATTTAGAAATATAATTTTTATATATAAAATTCAGAATATTCGATGTTAAGTTATTAAACTAAATTCATTTTTTTTTTATTTCGCATCTTAGATCACAAAATAATAAAAGGTATTTAAACAATTTTTAATAATGCAATTCTAAAAAATATGCAGCTTTATATTAACTTCAAATAATCCGCGTACTAAACATATATTATTAAATAATATAATATATTAATTTAATATTGTTAATATTATTAAATTTTATGAATCGTTAATGTAACATTATATAAAGTAAACTCTAATTAAAAAAGGAGTGTTGAAAAGCGATATCGAAATATGCTTGAGGTGAATTTCGAGTTTCAAGCGGTAAGTGTAACACTCCAACTATTGATCGATGATGTGTATCGAGGTCATACCTGAATACTGGGTCCTGGCATTTCACGATTGGCCGTAAGGATGCCTCGTCTCTGTCCATCCGCAGAAACGCAATGCTTGGCCAAGCAGGCGGTCTGATTCAATGGACAATCGCCGCATGATCTGTAAGGAACTTGCGTAAAATCGCGATTCCGTCTTCCCCAGCACTATAATGCAAGTCTACAAAGCGGATCGAATTGTTATACAACTATCACCGAAGGTGTTATAATAATGCAGGTTTTATGTATGAAATAATCACGGAAATCAAAATAATTACCTAAATTTCAGGTATGACATAGAGAGACCTAAAATTTAGCTACGGTAATTAATTTTTTTCCACGATACCGCAGTTTTCCGCATAGCACTTTTGCATGCAATTTTTTCATCTGTATATTTCATGCAGATCGATATCTATATAACAGCCTCGATCGATTTTTTTTGAGAATCATGCATAAGCAGAATAAAAAAGAGCAAATAGTATGTATTATTCAATAGCAAATTAGTAATGTTTTATACGAGTTTTAATTTAAACGTAGCATGCAATTTTTTTATCTACATATTTCATATAGATCGATATCTATATAATATATAACAGGATCGTTTGATTTTTTTGAGAATAATAAACGTAACCTATACAGCACAAAATAGTTTTATAATCTTTTAAAAATATTTCTTAAAAGATACAATAATTCTTAAAAATATTTTTAAAAAGTTTCTATGTCCGCTTTTCATGTTTAAAAAATATGGTTGAATATAGATTTAAACTGATATTTCAAGAATATGTATCAAATATTTAAGAAAATATTATCTGAGTGATAAAGAAAAACATTTTTTTAAATATTTTTAAGTTTTTTTAAAATATTCTAAAAAAATGTTGTCACACAAAATTTGTAAATCATTGTAAAATATTCCTGAAATAATTTGAAAATGTTTTTATGCAATATTTTATAAAAATATTTAGAAATATTTTTTTAAAACATTCATAATATTTTGTGCTATATAAAAAGAGAGCAGAGTAAAAGAGAACAAATAGCGTGTATTATTTAATAGCAAATTAGCAATGTTTTGTACGAATTTTAATTTAAACGTAGCATGCAATTTGTTTATCTACATATTTCATATAGATCGATATCTATGGTAATATATAACAGGATCGTTCGATTTTTTTTGAGAATAATAAGCGTAAGCAGAGTACAAGAGTACAAATAGCGTGTAGTTATTATTTAATAACAAGTTCGCAGCGTTTTGCGCGAGTTATTATTTCGATTGAATAAAAAAACATAATACCGATCCGGTCTCCTCCGATCTCGATTTATCTATTATATCGCGATTCTCGTTTTTGCATTTCGACAAGTGTGCGGTCGCGTGATTGTCCCGGGTTTTCCGCATTACGATTAAAGATTGCACAACCGTTATTGCATCGACGAGCCCGAAACCGAGCGTTGTGCTCGGTAATAGTTAAACGTAATGCGGCAGTACGGTGCGCACGACGTGTTGCAATTGCAAAAACGAACTGTTTATAATGCAGTAATAATCATTTCACGCCGCGCACGTAACTTCCTTCGCGCGGTTACGCGATCTCTTATGTGTATTTTTTTTTTTTTTTTATTACTTACATGAAAAGGAAAATAAAGACACGAAGTGTATTTGTAATGCTTATTTCGCGAAATGCGCGTAACGAGAAATGCAATTTCCTTTGCGTGAGACGGTTACGATATCGCGTATGCATTTCTTTATTACATGAGGTAACTTTCCCTTTTTAGAATTCGTCGTTCTTCTCTCGGACGCGAGTAGTATTATTGAAAATTCAAAATTAATATTTCATTGCAGATGCTCGTAAAAACAATATAGATGATATATCAGTTTAATTTGTAATATTAATATTAATAATAATATAATATAAATATAGATATATTATTAATAATAATATTTGATCAAATTAAATTAATTTATAATAATAATATTTAATACAATTAATATATAATATAATTTAATAAAATTAATATATAATTTTTATTCGTAATAATTAAATTAATATAACCTTTTTATAACCTTGATCGTTAGCGGATATTTAATTACACCTATTTACGAATAAATAGGTATTTTATAAAATAAAAGTCGGACATTGCACAACATTCACTTCGTAATCTACATTCTTGTAACGTTTAACCTTCGTATCTGGTTTGCTCTCAAGCTTTACTTTCTCTATTTTCATAATATGTGCTACATTTCACGAAACAGGTTAAAATGACCCGATATTATAGTTATGTGAAACACACTCTTATAATATTTAATTTCTTTAAATAAAGATATTTAAAAAATTGTTAAAATAAATAGATCGGAAATACATATTAAATAAATACAAAAAATATTTATTATTAAAATCTAATAATTAAATAATTTATCGATTTTTATCGAAACATCGAAACATCGATTATGATAATCAGCTGATTAGAGAGTCTGCATACAGACGAGAGGAGTCATGCGATGTGACCTGTTTTGACGCGTGTATTTATAATGAAGTTTTTTTATTCGTTGTGCGCGCAAATGAATGGATGGATGAAATTTTTATAAAATATAGATGCAACACCGGCGAAAAACGTAATTGAATGGACTTACTTGCTAAGTGATTGGAAGACTTCTAATGTGAGTTTCACCCGGCAGATCATAGGCCATTCCAAGTGATGACACGGCCTATCGCAGGAAAGGAATGTTTGTTCTGAAAAAGAACAGAAAGAGTAGTGAAGAAGGAAAAAATATTTTATCGCCTCGAAAGCAATTTTCCTTTTAGTCTATCAAACAAGAAAAAAATGTTAGTGGATAAGCGGTAAAGATGAAAGTTACAAACCACATAGAAAGTACTATTTAGCAAAGAAAAGCTAATGATGCGCACGCATTTATATTATGGCGCATACGTCAAAATTGCGGCGGATTAGATGGAAGCGAAAATGCATTTCGCGCATTATTACACGGATTATAACGTTTCATATCTATCTTCATTATAAAATCTTAAGTTGACTTCGTTTAATCGGATAAATTCAATGTCTGGTATTCAATGTCTGGTGAAGTTTTTTCCAGTCAAATACATTTTACGTTATTAATTTATATATTTATTTTAAAACGTATATTCAAATAGAGTGGGTTTTATCTTTAGACGATGTACATGAGAAAAATTCAAGAAGAGGCAAGATTTCATTTATAATATTTCCTCTAATTTTATATAATACTGAAAATATTTGAGAAAAAAAACAAAATTTATTTATGCATAAAAATTCTTAAAAAAATTAACGTCTCAAATTTTCTCTCGCGAATTTATTGTCTAAAATGTATTGTCATGAGGAATAATTAAAAGCTGCATTAAATTTACATGACTTATGCGCGGTAAGACAACATACGCTGTTCGCATTATAATTTTGACAAAATAATTGTTCCAACTTACTAGGCCTGTAATTGTTAATATGTAAAAATGTTGCCGCAGCTACGACCATTGTTACGACCACGAGACATCGTAAAATATACGTGGCCGGAGTGGCCACGTGACGATAAGTGGATTTTGGAGAATACATCGCCTACCAACGTTGTTATACGACAATAACAGGCGGTGACGACATTTATTCCCCGTGAGCTTTAAAAATTGACAGATTTTGAGTGAAATATTTACAGATGAACAATTAAGCTTCTTAATAAAACAAAAGTATGCCAATTAAATCGCGCAAATTATTAAGTAGCACGAGATGTATGTCTATTCAGCGATCGATTGACAAGAGAGATATATGATAGATTTCTACCAATAAATGAGAGAAAAATTTTTTTAAGTTCAACTCATGACTCTTTGCTGCTTTCAAGCTTCGAGCTAAGTAATGCTTCGAGGATAATAAAATGAAAGAGTTGCGCGGAGAAAGCTGACCGTGAAGGTAAAAAAGGAAGATGTTTGAACTCTATAAACAAAATCGAAAGTTAAATTGTTGTTTGGTTATCCTTTTGAGGTACATCTTTTCCAGTTTTAATCTTCACAAAGGCGTTCATAAATCAATTTTCGCGAGACATTATGAATGAATTATGAAAATTAAATTTGAAGTTTAATCATGCGTAATGATTAATCATAGTAAATAATGAGGCTATCTGTCACTCATTAACTGTCAAAATATTTTAAATATGTTTGTGTGATTATGACTAATGTTAATTTTTATTAAAAGTTATGTAATCAGCTCATATAGTTTATAATAAGTACCAATTTGAAAAATTTATATATTTTAAAAAAATTATATATTATATTCTGAATAAAAATCATGAGGTGTTCATGAGAAGTAAAAATCAATGAAATAGAGAATATGAAATTAAGCACATTTGCCTAATATTGTCATTTCCGTTCTCTATTATGAGATCATTATCACATAGAAATTTCATTATAATATTACGTAGAAATTTATATAATTTTCACATTATAACACAAATTTAATTCAGTTACATGTTACATGCGTGATATATATCAACGGAATCACGCATCTTTTTTTTTTTTACTGAAATTGAAAGTAAAATTACTGTTCATATTCTACCATACAATTTCACCACAGAGATTCTTTTTGTAGCTTCGAAATGGATTATATAATACAAACAGATAGAATGAACTTTTTTAAATTGTAGGATATGTCTCAAAATTTTTTACAGAAATAATTCTAATACAAATTAATCGATGAACTCAACTCTATGCAATTCGATTCAGTATTGCAATGCGTGCAATTTTTTAAATATCGTTAACTTATAAAGTCTTGGAGATTTTTCAAGCTGAAATAAGAAGTTTTATTTTAGATCAACTATCAAAACGCGTGTTGCAATTATGCTATATCCCGTCTTATTTATTTTTACACGAATAATCTTCACATATATATTAAATTATACATCCAAGTTTTTTTGCACCAATTAATGATTTGCATCAAATCCAAGAGAGTTAATCACTACATTTAACGTTAATTACTACATTTGACGTTTATAGCACGACAGATATAAATAATAATTATAGATAAATGAGGATATAGATAACGAGAAGAGAGGATATTCTCTCAATAAAAAAAACTCAATGAAGAAACGTGTGCGAAAAGACAATATAGATATATCTTTAGGTCACTGCACCACTGCGAACATTTACATAAAGCCGATACAACAAAACTGCGGACACAGTCGCGCTCCCCGTCGACGACTGATGAGAATATTCAGCCCGAAATTCGTTGCTAGAACGGCGTTTCTCTCCCGCTCTCTTTCGCCACTCTTCGACGTTCCTTCCTCATTGTCGAAGATCGAGACTAAGGCTAGCTAGTTTGTTCGCGAAACATATCCAAGGCGAGAAGAGAGAACCGGATTGTCTTGATTAACAAGAAAGAAAGAAAGAAACGAGTTGAGTCGCAAGAAAAGAAAAAAAAACCATAATAAATTTATTTACGAGCGTTTCGCTGCACAAACATTTAAGGCCGTCTGCGAATTACGACATAGCCTTCATTACGTTTGGCCGTATAATTTTCTATCCTTGAGCTCTGAACCAGTCTGAGGTTTTATTCAGATTGCGTTGAAGACGATTTTATTATACAGAAGTGGTAAATAAGTTTGATAGTCGTCAGATTTTTTGTCATCTCATTAAATCGCCTGTTTACATTGTGGCGACAAATTATTATTATTATGTTACGAAGGTAAATGAATTACTTAGATTTGATCTGAAATCATTGAAGCGATAACTTAAATGTAACAAAATTCTTTGCAAACATAAGAAGTCGATTTTTTATTAATAAATTTAAAAAAATTATTTTGCCATGTTTATAAATATTTTATTAACTGCTGATTCATTCATCGACATTTTTTGCGAGTACAAATAGAAGCTAATGATATTGTCTGTTTACAGACGATTTGTATTTATTGCCATTTGTTGCTTCTGTCCATAAGACTTTTTCCCTATCCGCAAAAATGATTAATCGGCTTCCTCATTTGTACGTAACTATGCGTATCGACTCCCGATTGGCTTCGTATGCAACTACCCGACATGGTAGTTTAACCCAATGATCGAAATACGCTTCGAATGGAAAGTATCGAAGAGCGCTCGACATCCAGAAGTCCATTTATCATAAAGATCTGAGGAAAAATCGAATATGAAGGTGTCGCTAATGGATGACCGAGGCATGACGATCTAAATGCAAGCGTGACCGATTGCGATCGAGACAAAACGACGGACCGGATCTCATAAATCACCGCACCACTGACAGTCGTCGGCTGTAGAACGTGGATGAACTAACGACCGCGACGTAGGTATATCCTCGCGCACCCAATGGACAACTGACGAAAAAGTTCAATTTCGTCGCTATCCAGTCGCTACCAAACTATGACGTCGCCTTCCCTCTCTCGGCGTTCCGCGGTCCCCAAAGTACAAAGATCATCTACATGCGAACGCGCGGTAGTTGTTCTCTTCCCTCCTTTTTTTCTGTCTTTCCTTCTCTACACAACCCCGCGGTCGCAGCGACGCCTCGAGTTTCGCGAATCGAATCTAAAATATGTGTCAGAAACGGCATAACCAGCGAGTGAAAGTTCCGCCTGAGGGCCCGTTTTGAAGACCCCTACCTATAGCATCGCGAACCGGGGACCCGTTTCGCATCTCTCTGAAAAGTCGGCTCGAATACTTTCATCTTCCGACCTTTCTCCTTCTACTCGGTCCAGCCAGCCAGTATGGAGATTTCGCTTTCGCTGATGCCTACCGGATCAGCTCTTACTCACATGGGCGGATAGAAACGATAATCATCGTGCTTGTGCGGTCACTTCTCTATGGAAAGCAAGTAACGTTTTGCTTGTCGTGAATATACGGCTTGGCGCATGTTTATCGGTCATTTTCATTCGGATTGCAACATTGGTGCATATGTTCGATTGGAACTTTCTAAAGAGTAGGATATAATCAGATTTTTAACGTATACGCATCTAGATGGTGCGCTCGTAGAAACTGGTACGATCTCAAGTAGTGTAATTATTTTAACGTTATCCTGTCACAATATTCGCATCGCTTAGGCAAAAGTTATTTATAGATAGAAACGAAGCTATTTATTTCTTGCGCATATATGTGCATATGTGAAGCAGGTAGCTATATTAATGTCTTCCTTTTCCATCATTTTTAGATCCATAATGAATAGTATAAATTTCCTTTCGCAGCTGAAAACCATGAGAGTTAATCACAAAATTAAATTTAATTTAGTATAGATCATTTGGGCTGTTTAATTTACTTTCTAAGTCTTTGTGCGCCTATAGCGACAAATAAATGATTAGATTCGCTACAATAGAAGATAAAGGATTCAATTAAATACATAGGTTCGCAAACTCGATTTGGAGGATATCTGATTCAAGCTTAGTGAAATTAAATAAAACAAGTGCACTCGTGAAACGAATGACTTTGCATTTCTATGAGAGCAACTTGCTATACAATAGTGGAGAAAATTGCTGTCGGTCCGAGCTTTTCCTTTAATATTCTATAAGCAGTAGATGGACAGTAAATAAATAAAAGAATAGCGTGTGTATATCATAGAACTTTTTCTTCCCTGCAAGTGATGTAAATAAATCTTCGCCACTATAATAATTAATATTATCACAATATAATTGTGACGATTTAATCCAAAATCAAAACCCAAAATGTACATTTCGCTTACGTGCCACGCATTATCTAACACTGCGATACATTCGAAAATTGCATATGTATTTATTCGTAATGACATTTATGTTATCTAATCCATATTCAGTACGATTGCCATTATATCACAATGCGTTAAATAAGTAACGACTTCCTAACTTTGCAAATAACCGCGTTGTCACTCGCTGTCGTAATTAATAATTTCAAACATATTTTATGCACTGAACTTCGCACTTTGTTCTGTTTATCAGCTTCTGCAATAATTAGAAAATTGTGCATCAGAGCAAAACTAATGTGATTATTGATAATGCAATTATATGATTGGAAACCGACTTCGAAATATTCAAATTATCAATTGTGATTCACAAAGAGGAAATCACTTAATTATGAATCTATTAAAAGATACGATGGATATAATGGCAAATATCAATCTTCGAAAGTGAAAGACGTATCTCTCTTATTGTTAGTATAATGTGTTACTCATGCAAGTGGTATTGTGTTATTTTCTTCTGAGAAAGCATTTTTCTCTATCGATAATAACTGTAAGTAGCACTCGAGGGGAAATCTCTCGTACTTAAAAGCATTTTGTCTCGATATCATTTCCCATCCTGTATTTAATGGTTATCGACACTAACAATTTCCATAGGTTATCAAGTAATCAAGACAATTCTGTTTAGCTTAGAACAAGTATTAGAAAGGAGATTAATAAATAGGCATACACAAAATTAAAAAGAGAAATGCTCTCGATTTAACTTGATAATGTTAATAATGGAAGGAGATCCTCTGTATCATCTGATTGTTAGTAAAGTATCTGTGATTTCACTGATGTAAATTAGAAGTGTAAAAACATAGCTGTTTTCATTATAAGTCTTCATTATCAGCTTCTTTATAAATTAATGTTTTTTTTATATTTTACTTCTAACATTATTTTTTATCTTTTTTTGTATTTCTATATTTGTATCAAATAACGTTACGCGCTTTATATAGTTTTGCGTCATGTATCAGAAAATGTTCACACTGATATCCTGGAATTTGTTTCACTCGATAGTTGGGACGAACTTTTTACTCTCTACATATATTGATAAAACACATTTACCGTATAATCATTGACGCTTTCACTTGTTTACTTCGGCGGAACGCATCTCTCTCACGATTATTCTTCAAAATCCGCGAAATTTAGATTCATATTACATGTGAATTACTAATATCATTTTTATAGGAAATATTCGACTTATGCGAAAATTGATCCGTGCGTGGAAATAAAATTGCATTTATAATCGCTGCGATTTACTTAAATTAGTCGTCAAATATTCGTAAATACATAATTCTGTACATACATATTACATATATTATGATGACTCATACGATATACTCGTAATCATGTTCAAATATTATTGGTAATGCAAAATCATGTATTGAAGTAATTAGCATATATGATTTAACATATGTTTATATAAGATATTGATATGAGAAGAAAAAGATCGATTGTAATTATAATTTAAATTGCAAAAATTAAATATTGATTTGCATTTGTTTGAAAAAAAATTGATATTTTTAATTTATTTTAATTCATAATTATCATAAAGATATTATTTTTTTTTGCACAAATAAAATTATCAACAAATTTATATTTTTTCAGAAAGTTTAAATTTTTGCACGTAAAGTACGATTTTGAAGAAAATATTTATAAAGAATAATGTTAGCAATTATAATTGAAATATATTTAATAATTCATAAGTTCCTACAAACCGCAGTAGATAAAAATTCTACTATAATGGCTGAAATTTGCCATTAAAAAAGTGACGGCCAATCAAGTAAAAATAAATAAATCTCTTTGCCTGAGGTGGCAGATGTTCTTTTGAAAGAAGAGAAAGTCATTTAGAGTTAGCCATGACAAAGGACATTTACGGCAGGTTACGTTCAAATGTTAATAAGAAATTCGATCACCTTTTTAAACGGGAAACAACGGCACCGTCAAAAAGCGAAATTGTGTATATTGCGAGACCATACACTTTCACGTTGAACTTTCAATTTTTATTCTGATATATTTTGACAATCTTTACGTTACAGTACATGTGACTTGCCTCTTCCTTTTTATGATTAAATCAAAGAGAAAGTATGTGTAGTTTATGTAGACTCATTACATTATTCAATAAGATTGCCAGTCAATCATAAACAGAATTTTTGTCATAATTATAATTTATAATATTTCTAATATACAATACTTTTACGTTGTGAATTTAAAAGTAATAAGAATTTCTCTCTCTATTATTCTTACTTAACCCAAAATTGTTTCCATATATGTAACAGAATATATACATACATATAATAAACATAACTCTTGATGTAAGAATGCTAATTGAAAAGATGTAACACACATAACACATATGTATTAATTTTATGAAAGTAGAGTCATGTAAAAATTCTTACGCGATGCAGAAACTAGGAATATATTTGAAAATATAGCGTAAAAAAACATCTGTTATGTGCGAAGATGATAGAATTAGTAATCAAAACTCAAAATTATACTGTTGTACAATACAATTAGCCTCATAATATATGTGCAGATATGCATGTATGCAATGTACTTAATGTTAGAAAAGATGATGATAGAAAAGATGTTAAGAAATTATTTACGTTTAAACATGCTAAAGAGCATAGAGAGCGTCATGGTTATACACAAGTAAAGTTTTAATAGAATACCGTATGTACCAATTACATGATAAAAATTATAGTTGTATCAAAATGCATGATTTCTCCATACAATTGGTAAACGTAAAGTATATAAAATATATAAAATTTGTAAATAATATATGTACAATTTTGTTCAATCTTATATTTTATTTTATTTAACGAAAATGCATAATACCGAAATTCTTTTGACACAAATTAAAGATGATATAAATGATTATTTATAAACAAAATGATCATTGCATAAAATAATTATTTCTTTAATTCTTGCAAATTTATTAAAAAAAGAGGAATTATTGCATATATTATAATAGAGAGATATAATTGATTGAATTGATCGAACTGCGTATATTATCTCCGTCATTTTTATTTTTATCATAATCAAAATAAAAAAATATAACTATTTTTTTTATATTATATACATGAAAGATTCGAAAGAGGCTTTTTCTCTTCTCCTTAATTTGTTTCCATCGGTTAATACCAACATTAATAATGATGCCTGAAAGCTTGACAGCTAGCAGTTAATTTAGCATAATGAGTTTCAAATGAAACAATGCTTATTATATAGATATTTGACAAATAGTAATTACAGTTAGCATCTCTTGAATAAGATTAATCCTTATTAAAAGAGACATACTGTACATAACTGTAAATATTAATTTGAGGTCATTGCATGACCTCTCGTACGCAGAGGTCATGCAATCTATCCCATCTTCACACGTGAATATTCGCTATCAAATACTATATATTTAATATGACTATTTTGTTGGAAAAAACAATTTTTTATAGAAAACTTTTGCAAATATTTTTGTTAACAAATATTACAATTTTTAATACTTTGAAAGAGCTAGATCATATAAATAATTCTGATAAAGATATGCTGCACTATTACCTAAGAAATATTATTAATTAATTTTAAAATCAATACGAATTATAGATATTTTATCGATTTATTTTTTGTATCTTGGCGAATATTATAGATGATGATT